ATCATAGTTACACTTTTGATAATTACCACATAAAATCAAAGCATGAGTTAGTATCACTAGACCTTGTGAACAAAACCGTTAAAAATCTTGGTGTTCCCGGAGAAGGATATCAATATTGCTCCGTTCATTCTTTCAAAGAGGTCCTTGTATTACTCGACCAGACAGATGCAGTTTCCTACTAAGAGAAGGAACAGACAGGTGATGTGATTATAATGCTGAGAGGCAGAGCATTTCTTGTCAAGAACAATTTTTAATTCTTAGCTTGTCAGATTTTTATATTCACTTAAGAGCTGATAGATGATTAAATTGATGTGGGTTCTTTTTATGTTCATTAACTTATCTTTCGTCTAACTGAATTTGGAAAACAAGAAGTTGAAACCAATACTGATAAATATGTTTAGACTGTGGAACAGTTGCTGCCACGTAGTGAGTTTTATGCATTCATATTACAGTCTTATTTGCTGCTGTAATATATATAGAATTGTTCAACAGTTTGTGCAGTGAATTTCTTTTCCAATGCTTTTCATGAACAGGGTACTTAATTTTCTAATTAGTCTTCATTTATGTAAAGCATGAAGAGGAAGTTATATTTGCACTAACAGTGGTTTTTATTCGATTTCTTTTGTGACAGACTCGTAGGGCTGCAACGTCCTTTTCCTCAAGTGCCTGAAATGCTGGTGCATTTTGTTGACATGGAACTACTTATCCCAAGTGCTGATATATTTTCTCGACTAGTTTTTAGGACAATTATAAACTTGGTTTTTGACCTATGGAAGTATGCACCAGTTACATATTTGAATTGGTTATGCAGTTCTAAACTAGCGAATGATTTTGCAAATTTTTTCCCTTGGCTCAACAATTAACAGTATTTGCATTTGATATGATTCCCTTCGCATTGGATATGTCATTGCGTCCATATTCTCAATTCACTGAGGCCAAAAATAAACCAAGCATGATGAACATGGAACCCTTGCAGAGAAAACTTCCTAAATTCATATAACTGTTTTAGCATTGTGCTGCAAAGTTTAGCACGAGTGAAGAATGATATGTCTGCGTCCAGATTTTACAATAATGGATGAACTGGTTCAACAAAAAGTTCTTAACATACAAGTAAAAGTATACGCGGAAGCTAATTTTAGTAGAGTCCTGAAGGGTGGCGTAATCCGGAATGGCGTTGGCATGCCCTTTTTCTTTCCTTTTTTTAGCTCGGAAGATTTTTGTTACCTTTTTTAACTCGGAAGATTTTTCTAGGGTTCTGCTTGCCGTTTCTCTAGAGATAGGTAAACCCTGGACCTCCTTACTCTTAGATTGTGGATCTCGATTTTTTTTAGTTATAATCTTTAGTTATTTAGTGCTCCTTTTTGGCCCTGCAGCTGGTGATTTGAGAAACGTCGTTTGGCTGCATGCACTTAAGATAAAGGTAAAAAGCTTTTTTGAGGCTATGAGTGAGATGCCCATCCTTTTTATATGATTTTGAAGGGCATTTAAGGAGTACGAGAGTCCTTGCCCTTTTCAAGTCCTAAAAGACACAGAAAATTACTAGAAGCGCCACAATGAGTACTTGGACTGCAAGTGCTGGCACCAGTTCATTATGGTCACAAAGACTATAGTGCACCTTTTTTGGTTTTTGTTTGAGACCATATGCTAACGTCTATTGGAAAGTACGTAGAAACAAACAGGCTCATATATTTCGCTAAGGTTTTGCTTTAATAGAAGGATAAAGTTCATATGCTGCATTTTTAACTAGCTCGACTAAACAAGAACCAAGGTTCTAACCACACAATCAAAAATCTCTAAACAAGAACCATCAGCACAACAGACCACGCAAGCACCTTCAAACTGGTAACCAATAAAGAAAGGCAATAGATTCATCATCACGCAGCAATTGCATCAACGGCTCCATCCCCATGAAGCAGTGCCTGATCGAAGTGCCAAACCCCTGGAATGGACAGGAAACAAGACAGTTTTAAGAAACAGAAAAATCAGAGCAGATAAAGTAAGGCCATATTAAAATATACAAAGATAACAATATAGGATAAAGTAGAGATGACAATAATATTGGATCATTGGTTCCTACCATGTCCTTTGCCGACTCTCCTTAGTTGAGCAACATATTCAGATATTTTCTTGATGGCTTCCACCTTGAGAGGTAAAAGTAGAACATCAAAACCATGCCGTATAGAAACCTTTCCAACTCAGGATAAACAAAGAAGGACATCAAGAATCACCTGCTCAGTCAAAAACTCGCTTTCAACGAAATCTGTTAACTGCACATCTTTGTTCTTCTCAGCAACCTGTTAGTTGCATAGTCAAACATAAAAGCATGTGTTAGAAGCTAGAGCATAGCACAAAAACATTTGAATCTTCAAACATAGTGGCGCATGTAAATTGATACCACAAAGCAAACGATGTTACTACTGAAATGACATCAAATTTACCAAATATAATCAGGTAAAGAACATCATCATAAAGTTAAGAAGATGGTGTCAAATAAGAATAAACGCCTTACATGGTGTAAGTTGAGCAGCTTTTCATTTGTCAGTTTCTCCAGAGACAATGCAAGCTCCATTGCTAAATCAAAAGAACAGGACAGAGTTTGAGCTCAATAATAAACAGTTAACACAGTATATTACAATCCCTTCAAATAATCCAATGGCTGAACACATCTGCATAAACCAAGTCTTAGGGCCATGCCATTCTTTTTTTTTTTAATTCCCTTAACTATCATCCAGCACACACTTAATGAAACACTTCACATCCAATTTTATTGTTAAGCAGGCAACCAATGTCTTCAAAACTCAAGTTTACTGTGCTATGACACAACTAAACACTATTTGATGCGAGCACATCACTGAGAAAAAATTCATGCAAATCCCAATTGAATGATCATTTGGAAAAGGAACACCTTGAGCATAGAATAAAAAAGAATGGTGTCTGGGGGCCAAAATTTCATTACAAGGGTACAGTTTTCATCACAAATACACAAGGGCGAATAAAACTAACCATATAAAGCATCTCCCTTCTCTGCATGATCAAACTCAGAAACAGGCATCAAAATAGACTGCAATTTCACTCTTCCACCGCGTTTATTCTAAGAATCACCACAAAGAAAAAAAGAGATAAGCAATTCAATTTGACAAAAGAGAAACTGAATTTAAAGCAATTCAATTTGACAAAAGAGAAACTGAATTTAAAGCCTATTGCAGTAAGCAATACATGGAAGATTATATATTAAGCAAGGAATAAAGCAAACACCTGGTATTCCATAAACTTCTCAGCATGGTCCCTCTCTTCCTCACTCGATTCCTTGAAAAACCTGTATAGAACAAAACCATGAACAACGAAATTTATGTATAAGATTTGTCAAATTGTATTGAAGAAGTCCAAGAAATTACTTGGCAAGACCCTTGAGCGCTACATTGTCCCTGTCGAAATAGGCAAACATGGCATGGTAAACGTAGGAGACGTTGTATTCCACACTGATATTCCATCAAAGAAACAAATAAATCGTTAGAAAACAGAGCATAAACAAATATAATCAAATTTCAATCAGAAATTAGAAAAGAGGCTCAATTACATTACTTTTAAATGAGACGCTGAAATCCAAACTACTACTCAAAACGCAAAGATTTGCAACCACATCGTTACACAAATCCACACACTCAGAGAGAAAAATCCACATTAAACAATTAAAGGCACAATTTTCACATGAAAGATGAAAATGCTTTGACACACACAATCGGATAATGCTTCAAGATTGAATTTTTAAGACTTCAAATCAATCATAGCCTTAAAGAACTATTAAAAAAAAATTCCTTTCGTAAAAATATAATATTTGAAGGAAAAAGAGACAAAACCCACTTGATCTGTTCGTTAATGGCTGCCTCACTTTCATCGGTAAACTTCTGGCGAGCAAGAGAGACTTGTGGAAGAGTAGGTACGAGTTCTAGCTCCTTCTTCACCTCTTCAAATGGCTCGAAAACCACACCGGTAAGGGGCCGATTATTCGCATTCTTGGACGCACAGACCACAACCCCACCTTCATTTCTCGTCGGAGGGAACCGCAGAATCAAATTCAGAGATGTGAACGAGTTCAGAGGAGAGAACGAATACGAAAGCTTGGACGAAGATGAAGATGGAGCAGAGGAAAACAGAGGACCCAAGTTCTCCCCGCGAGTGATCAAGTGAGAGGAGGCTGGAGAACCTTTGAGAAGCATGGTTGCAGAGAGCAAAACACACGGATTGTGTGAAAGAAATAGGAAATTAGTGTGGATGAGAGAGAATCGGGGGTTGAAGAACAGCTGAAAGCAGAGGAAAATGAGGGTTTGAGAGATGAGTGTGCGGTGTGGAGGTGAGGATTGAGAAGTGGAGAGAATGGGGTCACTATATCAGTGGCTATGGGCTGTTTGGACCGTTGGATTAGAAAAACGTGGACGGCTTGGATTGAGTTGTTGGAATGGGCGCGTGGCAGGCTCGTGCCATCCAAAGGAAATATCTGGAATGTTGGGGCGTGCGTTGAATTCTCTTGGAAATTTTTTTATGGTTTCTTTTCGGTTTGCTTTTTTGTGGCCAATAGGAGAAAGAAAGTGAGAGAAAGTGAGATAAAGTGAGAGAATCTTGTTATTTCCCTTTCGGATTTTCATTAAATTGGGGAATAAAATTCTCAATAGGACTCTCAATTATGGTACGGGATAACTACAAAAGCAGGTAGAGCCATGAAGGTTATAAATCACCTATTTTGCATGTAGATTTAGCCGGCAATGCCATGTGTAAAACTCTACATTATTGTGCTACGAATGTTCTCCATGTAAAGCTATAGGAAGGACAATGACACATGGTTGATTGCTCAATAACGGCTATCGAGACCGGTCCCATACTCGAGAAAGGGATTTGTTTTCTCTAACATGTAGGATATCTATTCAATTTAATGAGTCAAATCTTTCATTTATTAGGAACACCAAACGTTCAATTAACATTAAGAGTCTATTTGGGAGTGCTTCTGGAACAGGTAAAAGCACTTTTTGATAACCAAAAGCAATTTTAACAGTGTTTGGTAAAAAAGTTTAGAAGCGCTTTTGGGCCTAGAAGCATTTTCTGAATAAGCATATACCACGTGCTTCTTCAGAAAGCACTCCCAAATAAGCCATTTGTTATTCGAGCTACCAAATGAGATCGAAATGGAGAAATATGATCTACATGCCAATCTTCTGGATATGACTCATGACAAAGCATGTTTTGTCGTTGAAAGGTTTTGTGTCACACTCTCTTTGTATATAATATCCTCTAGAGCAAGTTGGGCTGTCTTTGTCAATATGAAACGGCTATTAAACTAAAGTTAAATAGACTATATAATTACGACACCCCTCTCTCCAATAGCTTTCAAGAGGTTAAGTGGTACTTTTTTTTTTTTTTTTCTCTTAAGTTAAACTAGCCTCTCAGCACGCGCTTACGCATCTGCAAGAGCCTTTTTTGTTAAAAAAAAAATTTAAAATTTATTTTAAAATTAAAAAAGATAATGGGTAGTTGTGTATCATAAAAATAGGATTCATTATCTTATTTTTCTTTTAATTTTAATTTTGTTAATATGAACAAATGTAAATTTACCATATTATCTTTATTTAATTAATAATTTTAATTCTTAATATTTGAATTAACTAAGGGCATTTTCTAATATTTTGAATGTTTTATCATTCTCAACTTTTTGCTTTATATATATATATATATATATTATAAATTAGAATACTGGAATGCAAGCATATGATTCATTTCACCACGAAGGGCACCTATGATTTTATCCTTTAATTTACTAAAGATAAATAAATAAATAAATAATATATATATATATACAGTCCCCTTTTATTGAGGGATCCCTACAAAATCAATGAACAAAGTTATTTAAGAAAGTACTAAAACTTCAATAACTCAATTGAATGGTCAAATGATATCGGATTCAAGTGAGTTTTTGTAGAGATGATCTTTGAATGAGTATCTACAAAATAGACGGTTTGGATTAGTGAAATACAATCCGGAGTGGACCCTACAATGAGTATCCCTCAAATAAGCTTATTTGAGGAATCTCAATAGAAGCTATATAAATATAAATATATATATATATATCTCTATCTAAATATAGGCTGGATGTACTCTTTTAACCTTGGGGTACCGTCCATGTCATTAGGCTGCCCCACTGTTTTGAGTTGAAGACAGCTAAGCTTAAATTGGGCCTTGTCTTAGGGCCCAAAACACCCTTATATCCAAGGGCAGCCATCAATCTCAATTTCAACACAACATAAGAACTCGGGCTTGTTTGAACTAGCGGAACTGTATGGGCCTAAAATATATATAATTTAAACTTGGACCTACCAGAAGAGCATTCCAATTTACCTCCAGCGATGGCCTGTTTTTGCAGTTGTAGCCCAAATTCAATTGCCAGGATCTCCTTTGACGGAGATGCTCCTATAATGAGGGGAATTTGGGTGAGGGGGTTGAACGAGGGTTCAATCTAACCCCTTGAAAATCTTGGAACTTTTTGTGTTGGTTACAGAAAATATTGAAACTTAAATAATGGATGTTATGATAGTTAGCTTATATGCAATTCGACCTTTAATAATTGATGTTGAGACTGTTAGCGTAGATGTTATGTACGGCCCAATCTCATAAAACAAAATTGAATGTATGTGAACAAAAAGGAAGTGAGAAAATCAGCACCATAAATATATATACAGGGGCGGAGACGCACTGGGACCAGTGTGGTCCCGGGCCCCCACTCAAGTTTTTTTTATTTTTTTAAAGTAATAATATTGTTACGTATTTCTATATGTATATTATTTCAAATATTTTAGGTTTTGATATGTACACATTTGTTGTGTCGAACCTATTAACATTAAGGCACAAGGAGGTGTTTCAAATTGCCCTTTGCTCAACTGGTGGTGGTGCACTCTAGGGTGCACAGATTACCTTATTTTCACTTTCAACATTTAAGTAAATGTCTTTGTCCTTTTACTCTCATTTATTTTTATATTACTCCATTTACTTAATTTTACAATATAAATAAGGAAGTACCCCCTATTTGGATTCAAATAAAAATACTAGAAAATCAAATTCCCACCGAATCAAAATTTGAAAAATCGATTTTAGTGCAAAATATGATTTATGCTAAAAATGATGGCTCATTAAGTCAATATATACTTCATACTAAAATCTCATAAAATCAAGTTTTCCTATTTGAAGTATAAAGAATAAAAGCCGCCAAAAATTATCTTGGGAAAATGATCATTCCAAAAAATCATTTTTCATACATAGTCAATATTTTTACATAAAATATTTTTTTTCATGTATGATATGAATGCATGAAGGGACCTAAGGTTTTTTTAAGTTTGAGAATTTTTTATTTTTTCTTTCTATGGGTTAATGGGGGGAAAAACTTTAAAGATATTTGCTAAATCGCTACTCTTTATCTATCTTTTACAATTTTTCTTGCTCAGAATGTATTTGTCTATCCCTTTGTCGAGAACAATTATGATTGCAACCAATAAGCAATATAAATCTTGACATATGTGATATATATATATATATATACTATTTTTTTTTGTATTGTGAGTTCGAAGTTTTGATTATTTATAATTTATAAGAAGCCCTCACGCACATAAAATCCTGGCTTTGCCAATATATATATATATATATATTGTATAAAGTTCCATTTGACATATGTAAGAAAATATATAATATTTGCCTAATTACTTATAAAGGGAAATTACCGAACCAATTCAATTGGTGATTTTACATTGAATTCGGTGTGCCGGTTGAGACCTAAACCAAACCAAACCAAACCAAACTCATCCATTTTGTTAATAATGGACGTTGAGTGCTGCCATCAAAGTACGTAAAAAAATAAATGGAATGGAAAGGCCAACAACCAGCAGAGACCAAGAGATGAGCTTATTACCTTATGATATTGTGAGATTACCAACGTTGGGAAGAAAAAAGAAAACCCCCATTTGTTGGTTTGCAGAAATGAGAATCAAATTTGCAGCAACAGTATCATGAATTGATAGAAAAACCATGCATGACCGCGATGCTCATTTAATGCTGGCGTTGGAGGTCTCATGTTTTTCCTTGTATGGTGGTGAAGATGTCTGTTTCTTCCTTATAATTTATTTGCATTAGTTTTTAGAGATTCTCACACAAACCAACCAAGCACCAAGCTTTTCTTTCTTAATTACCCCTTTACTAGATAGATAGAGAGAGCAGCTTGGGTATCTTAAACCTGCTTTATTAAAGGTTAAAATGTAATTAGTAGTAGTACATGTACCACTCTACTTGTAAATTATTTTCTTTGGTAATTTAATAATCATATTTACTATGGAAAATCACCTAATAGAACCTTCTACATGTACAGTGAAAATGATGAAATTAATCTCAAAGTAAATATTATACATGCAACTGAAGGAAGGAGAAGGAGGGGGTGTTTTGTTTTGGAAACATGAAAAGAAACATGGAATTGTGTGATGGGTTATTAATGCAACGCGAGAGACTTTGGGGTTCTTCAAATCGTATAATAAATAAATAAATAAATTTCAGTACTAATCACCCTCGAATGGGGTTTCATTTAAATAATCTATGCAAGTTATAACCTATGTCAGGGCCTCATTAATTTCTTGATAAGGCTTGGTTTTATTATATAAATTTCCATCCATTATAGTAAACCTATATGGTTTTCCTTAGCAGAAAGAAAAGAAAATTAGGTGATTGAAATTTGTGCTTGATATTGTTAGATCATGTCTAATATCAATTAGCAGTTATAATATTTCTGATAGTGATGACTAATCACGGGTTTATTCAACATTGCTTAATTTTCACAAATTATTATTTGTATATACATGCAAAGCTCACGAGATTAGTCTCCTTCCAAGTGCTGAAAAGTATCACATCCTTATCAGTCTGTCTTCTTTGCTTGTGGTGCTCAATGAAGCATGCATACTATACAAGCACACTCAGACTCAAATACTCTCTCTCTCTCTCTCTCTCTCTCTCTCTCTCTCTCTGTGGGTCTTAAAGGTAGGTCCTCTTCCGCTTTAACGATCATTCTAAATCCTTCTGCAAGGAGCAAGTTGGCCAAAAAATGAAAATGAAAATAATAAAATAACTCACATATGCAACTTGATCAAAAATCAAAACAACAAACACAGAGTTAGGGTAGGGTAGGCCCCATAATGCACTAGCGAGAGACCCCGTCTTCGGGGTATATATAGCAGTAGCTCTAGGTACTTTAAAAAAACAAAGTTGTAGTCATACAGAATATTAATATTGGTGAAACTGGACCGTTTGTTGATCTAACCAATGATTTGGGTCATATTCAGA